TGTGTCTCGTCTTCACACACAAAAAATCTGCTGTCCAATCACCTTAAAAGTTGTGTTTTTTGTGATGAGTTTTCTTCATTTCAGTTCCTTTATTCAACACAACAAATCGATTGTTTAACTCATTTTACTAATATATTTTAGTTCATTTACTATTTATCATAATTCATGTCATACTGTTAGTCCACCCATTTTTCAATAACACTTTTATTGTCGTTCAGCGAGTTTTAGTTTTTTTCAGCTCAAAATTATGTTTTATTTATATTTTGCCTTTTTTGTTATACTTAATACATTTAAAATGTTATTAATTGAAAAGATGAGAAAAAAAGCACACTTTTGTTATCTCCATAACACACCCCTTTTTCTCACAAATAGCCAAACACACAGCGTTTGATTGTTGATTTACTTTCGTACTCTATTCGACTTAATATTGATTAAATAATAATAATCCGTATTAAAAAACAACTACTATTAAACTAAACAAAAACCATTCATAATAACCCAACACACAGACAGACTACTCATCCCACACAACCACATTTTTCCCATACCCGCTGATCATTTGCGAAGTCAACGGATTCCACATCGCACAATAACAACTTTTATCGGTAGAACTACCAACGTTAACATCCGGGTAGATCCTCTTCGCAAATTTCCCGTCGAGCAAATTCCATACAAAGACACTTCCATCGACTGAACCAACTGTCATAAACTGTTTGTCGCAAGAAACACCAATTTTACTCCCCGGGTTGATGTAATCGTCATTCACAAAACTCTTCACCTTACGCATCATTAATGGGTCAACCATCCAAACCACGTTGTCCTTCCCATTGACCAACAAATACTCCCCAACACCTTCAACAAAGGTCACACCACTGCACGCAACACCATCGTACACCTCGATTATCCCAACATCCTCTTTCTGCCGATTGTCCCAAAACCGGAGGGTACCGTCCATGTGACACGTCACTATTTGGTTTCGCATTAACTCCAAACTGATGACCGCCGACTTCGCAGAGCAACTTAATTTACAGCGCGACTGAGATAAGTCCCAGAAGCGCACAGTACGATCAGAAGAGCCCGTGACAACACTCAATGCGTCCAAAAACTTACCACCAGTGACTCTATTTGCATGCCCCGTTAATGTGTACCGGGTGCTGTTCCTCTGTAAGTCGAAAACGCGGGACGTCGCATCATTTGAAGTGACCAACAACATATCGCTCACTTCGCTGAATGTGACGGAAGTCACCGACTGCGCCATTCCGCGAAGAAACATCTTGCAGACAGACAACCCCGAGTCGTATATCCTCACAGTCCTATCTTCACTCCCACTGGCATATAATTGCCCATTTGCACTAAAAGCGAGACAAGTGATATCCCCCGTGTGGCCAACAATATTTCTCACTGCAATTGAAGGTACTTTACACGCAAAATCGCCTTTGAATATGCTCATGGTTGGTTTCAAGTCCTCCTCTTTCGCTATGAAAGTCTCCGTTTTACTCACTTTCAAGTTTTTGTCCGACTTTTCCGGTGTTTTTGGCTTCTCCAATTTCTCCGTCTTCTGCTTTTGAAGCTCTGGCTTGGGTTTCGGAGGCTCGCTTTTGTTAATTAGAGACGATTCATGTTTTTGGAGTTGATTTGTATGTGTAGATGTTTGAATATACGACTGGGTCGAGTTTCTTTCCACCTGTTTTCTCAAGTCTTCAATGATGTCGAGGAGCCGGTGGTTTTCGTAATTCACCGCCTTTGACTTCTCACTCGTTTGTTCGAATGATTGTCTTGAGAAAGCAAGTTCCTTCTTGAGATACTCAATTTGTTTTTCTAAGGACTTCTTCGATGTGTCTTCATCCTTTGCCTTCATTTGATACGTTGCAAGAAGGTCTTTAGTCTCTTGTATTGTTCCGTCCTTAGTCTTTATTATTGTTTGCAGTTCTGATATTTTGTCAGCAGCTTCAAATAGTCTTGCCGTCTGCGCGTTGATAAAAGTTGTCGAGTTCAAAAGGTCTTTTGAAAGCTGAGAGACTTGAACATCACTAAAATTGTTATTCAAATGATTAAAATGAAGAAGAAGAAACAGACAAACTACTCCTCTTTCGACGCTGTTGTCAGTGTTATTGAAGTGATAGATTTCCATGGAGCGATTTGAATCAGGTCTCGCCTTTCTAGCTTAGTAAAAAGAAGCGAGGCGTAGGACATATATTGAATTTAAAGTTTCTATAAAATTTTGATGAGCAAAAACTTTGTTCTATGACTCACCTATCGGCAAAAAAATATAACTCTCCATTGGTAATTGAATTGTACCACTAAAAAATAGTTTATTATAATTTTTTATATTACTCAATTTTGGAAATAATAAAAATGCAGATTTGGAAGTTTTAAAAATAACGACACACAGTCGTTTTTAGAACATTTGACCGATTTGTTATATAATTTAATTATTTTACTAAATAACTATAATTTATTTATAGTGGCTTTTTTGTAAGATACAATAATCTTTTTGATGTCGAGAAATGGATCTTCTATAATCATATTTGGTAATAATTTACTTAAATGAGTTTACTATTACAAAAATCCTTTGTATATAATAATATTAAAATAAACTAATATACAATTATAATAGGAAGACTAATATTACTAAGTTAATTTAAATTTGTAAATTAATAATTATAATTAATTAATTTACATGAATAAAGTTGTTTCAATTTAATTATAAGTTAACGTTTTTTGATCAATAATATTAATTTGATTCAATAAAATAAAAGTTAACAATAATGATCTTTAGATGTTTTTATTATTTTTTTTAGTTAATTTTACTAACATTTTAATACAAGTTATTCCAAAACAGAAAAATGTGGAAGGTTAAGTAAATCTTATTTATTTTTTATGGAATTGACTTGAAGTTGTTATAATAATAAATAAATTTGTATTCTAAAAACTATTAATTATTAATATTAACAATTGTTTATAATAAAAGAAGATCAATAACATATAAAAACACATATCAATCTAATGCGACCATATACTCGGGTGGAACACATGACAAATCTAAACTACTCTTTGAGCACAAGAAGTTCATTGATGCAAGTTTCTTTGCAAGTGGCAAGTCGATGATATTATCAGGGAGTGCTGGCACCGCTCTCATCCCACTTTGCCCTTGACAAAAAAATTGGAAAGCCTTGGCGCACAGCTGTGGGTTCTCGTACTTCACATATGCTTGTGTTGGCGATATCATTTCGATAGCTTCCATGTTAACACGTGTTTGGTTGTTAATCATCCCAACTATGTTACTGATATCGCTTGTCTCTGGTATGTCGAACACAGCAATAGTGTTCATTGGTGCTGCCATTTACTTCTTTTTAAGTTTCTTCATATTTTGTTTTGTTCTTTCAAACTATATATGCATGGCATAATTACTATAAATCAGTAATATTACCAATATAATTAAAATATAATAAAAATAAAATAAAAAAATACAACGAATAATACAAACGTGTGGCGCCAAGAAAGCTGTATGTGTCTACTTTAGGGTTTGGTCAACTTAGGATTTAGAAAATTTGAGGATGCCAAAAGGAGGAAAGAAACACACACAAGAGGCGAAGGTAGCCCAACCAGCTGTTTCGACACTTCCTATTAAAGACCAGCAAAATTTGCCAAGACAACAAGACGAGCTTTTGAAGGCCGGCTTGAAGCATTTTAACAACAAACACTATGAAAAAGCAATTGAAAACGTCGAGAAAATCATTGCTCGATTTCCACAAAACGGAGAAGCAGTCGCGCTTTTGGCCGCTTCGCAATATTCAAAGAGCCCAAAAACGGTCAACGTTACAGAAATCATTGGTACACTGAAGTTGGGCATTAGATACAACCTCGGCAGCGTGACGTGTTGGCACTTGTACGCGTTGATCTTGAAATTGGAAAAGAACTATGAGGAATCTTGCAAAGCGTTTAAACAACTTTCTAAAATCGACCAAACCAATTTGGGAATCAAACGAGAGTTGTATTGCCTCCAAGTCCACACCGGAGACTTTGTTGGTGCCTTCGAGACAAGAGCTGTTCTCTACTCAATTCAGAGCGACAGCGACACTAATTTGCTTGCAAAGGCCGTCACCGCCGACTTGGTTGGACACAAAGAAAATGCTTTAGAACTCATCCAGTTGTTCATTAAGAACTTTGTTAACGCGAAGACGCCTGCTATGGACAAAGCGGAGTTAATGTTATACGAGTGCCGATTATACAAAGAGATCAAAAAGTATGAAGAGGCCCAAAAGCTTCTTGTTGACAACGAGCATGAGTTCATCGACAAAATTGGATATTCTGAAAGACTTGCAGAACTCAAAGCGCTCCTTGGTGAGAAAGAAAAGGCGATTGAAGAATATAAAAAGCTTCTGAGTATGAATGCGGATAAACTTGAGTATTACATCAACATTGCTCAGGCACTTGGTGGAGAGGTGAATGCGCTGAATGGCGAGTTGGACAATTTTGTGAAGATATGCAAAGAGTATTCGAAAAAGGATTACGACAACGCTGCCGTGATGATCCTTAGAGCACTTCCAGCAAATGAAGAGTTCAAGAATTTATTGAAAAAGTGTATGATTGGGTTGGTCCAAAAGCACATCATCACAGTCTACATGCTTCTCGCATCCCTCTTCGAGGTCAATTTATCAAATGAAGCAGACAAGAAGAAGCCAATTTTCGTTTCGTTGTTGGACGAATTGGAAAAGGAAATGACTGGCGAAGACCAGAAGTTTGTGTTCATCACAAAGGTTGACACCCTTTTGAAAGAAAACAAAGTCGATGATGCGGGTAAAGTGTTTGAAAATGTCAAAGACGAGCCCAACACAATCGAAGGGCAAATGATAACGGCAAGAGTCTTGAAACATCAGGGAAAGTTGGAAGAAGCAGCAAACGCAATGGACCGAGCGAGAAACTTGGATTTGGCCGACAGATATCTTGCAAACAGAACTTCAAAATATTTTTTCCGAAGTGGAAACGTTAAGAGAGCCGTTGAAGTGTTTAAGTTGTTCGACAGATCGCCGGAAAAGACTGGTGACGCTGGTGATAAGTTCAACGAAAGAATGGACGATTTGGAAGTCGTCTGGTTCTTGACAGAAAACGCGTGTGGACAACTGAAGTGTGGCAACTTGGACGAGGCAGAGAAACTCGCAAATCGTGTCCTCAAGGCATATAAGTCATATGTGGACGATTTGTTCGATTTCCATGCTTATATCTTCCAAAAACCGTGCATTTGTACGTACATCGACACACTCAAAGCATGCAAACAGTACGTTAACTCCCCTTTCAAAGCAAGAGCAGAAAAAGTTTTGGCCGAAGTCGCAGAGAAGAGAAAGAATTGATTTTGTTCTTTTGGCTTTTGTTTGTCCCAAGTAATTCAAAATAACATAAAAACAAGAATGAGTTCAATTACAACAAAGCAAGAACTCCAAGGAATGCTACAAGGGCAACACCAGTAACTCCACTTGTGCACACGAATGTAATTGGCTCAAAATGGACTTTCTCACAAGGTTCAACACTGGTCGAAGGCTCTTTACTATTTTCTTCTTCAGATTTTGCAATGCTTTTAACAACAGACTCTTCTTTTGACTCTTCAATGCTAATCTCAATTGATTTGACCACACTTTCCACTGACTTGATAACACTTTCTTCGACAGATTTCACAACACTCTTTTCAACTGATTTGATGGTTGACTCCTCGGTGTTGATTGACAATTCAATATCAACAGAAACAAATTCGTTTGATGTTGACAATTTCACTTCTCTGACTGAGACAGTAAGGTCGTCGTTTGAATCTGGGTCGTTGAGAGAAAGAGTGATTTTCTGGGTGGAGTTAACGGTTATTGGAATAGTGACCTTGTTTTCTACTCCGGAAATCCCAATGAAAGTGTTGGTCACGTTGGCAATAAACTCAACACCGTCTTGGTAAGTAACGTCTTCTACATCAAGCTTGAATGTCACTGGGGCATTGTCTTTGCTTTCAAATACCATGTAGAACTGGAGTGTTGTGTACTTCTTTACATCTGTGGTAAAGTCATTGACAAATTGTATTGATTCTTTGATGGATCCATTAATGTACTCAAGTCCATTGATTTTCACAATTCCCACATTTCCATCAGTTGAGTTGATGTGCCACCCTTCCTCAAACTTTCCCTCTTTGATGACATAGGACTCTTCAGATCTTGCAAAGCAAGCAATAAGAAGTAACACAAGCGCGTTCATTTTTCGATGTTCTTCCTCGTTTTTTCTCCGCTCAAATTGATCCCTATTCCAATCTTACTTTTCACATATCACTCCTTTTTTTGATCTCGTTTTTTATTATTTGAGATTATTCGTCAAAATATTATTTATAATAATACTTTTAATAAAAAATTATATTATTAATAAAATAATATATAATAATTATTTTATTTATATTGTTATAATAAAAATATTTTCTTAAATAATAAATTAATTAAACCATTTAACTTTTTAATTAGTTTTAAAACTTTTTTTTAAGTTGCTTCTTATTATATTGTTTAGATATTTTTATAACAATCTGTTATATTATTAATTATAATTTATTTATAACGAATCATAATAAACCATTTTTATTAAAAACAAATTTATATGGAACCAATTATTTTTGGTAATAAAATTAGTAATTAATGTTAAGTTTAATTTTAATTATACTCACTAAATAACAATAGATTAGAGTCATTGTTTAAACGTTGTTTTTTCTCCAACAAAGTCCCTCCGTTTTTAGGTATTAATAACTAGAATTTATCAGGTAAATTTTCAAAACACTAGAAAAACAATGTTTCAATTTTTTTACCGTTTTTATGAATTTTTTCCTAATTCCCATTTTTTTAAAGAAATTGTTGTGTATTTTTTTGCAAAAGGGACAAAGTTAAGAGAAAGGACAAATCAAAGACTGACTCCTATTATTTTTTAATCAATTCAAAAAGTAAACCAATTTTTACTGATTTACTTTTCCAAAAAAATGTCTTCCTTTTTTTGAACAATGAAAGAAAGAAAACTTTACCCATATTAATAAAAAAGTCAACTGTTCATTCTGCGCCTGTTCCGAATAATTGACAGGCATTATGTTTTATCTCTTTGTAATTGATCTCCGAAACTAAAAAGTGAGAAGATGATGACAGACAAGTCGGACAAGATAGTAGACCCCAAAAACGAATATTGGGTAGGTAACATATACAATTTCCGATCCTTAGAGACATTGAATGTGACTAAAGGTTCAATTAAGCCCAACCATATCTTCCGCGGAGGCTTTTTCTTTAATCGTGGTCTCGACGATATCAAAAGTCTCCACACGGAAAAGAAAATCCAGACCTTCTTAGATTTAAGAAGTTCAGATGAAGTCCCTAGTGGATATCGCGAGCTTGTCGAAGGTGAAGGGATAGCTTATTACAACTCCCCTCTCATTCCCTTTTGGAGAAGTGTTTTTTATTTGATATTCAGGGTTCCTTTTTGGACGTTTATATCTGCTTTTATGTCTGCGCTCTCTGCCTTATTACACTTCAGAATCGGGCTTTTTATCGAATCAATGAAAAGCACATCAACGTCATTTCCACTCGGGTGGTTCTACCCTATTATATATCACTATGGCAAAAAAGAGTTGAATGGACTTTTCTCGTTCATTGCAGAACATTGCGACAACCCATTCATATTCTATTGTTCCTTTGGAAAAGATAGAACAGGACTCATCGGGTGTATGATAGGAATGTTACTTGGAGCGGATATAGAAGAGTGTGTGAAAGAGTATAAATTGAGTGACAGAAGCTTGAAAGATCATATGGTTGTTGCAAAAGACCACTTCAAATTGTTTGGTGGAGATGAGAAGGGGTATGAACTTGCAAAGACTGATGACAAATTACTTCGCGAGTTCGACAGATTCATTAAGACCAAGTACGGGACCATCGAAAATTACTTCACGAAATTCGTTGGATTGTCGGAACTCCAGATCACGCAAATCAGAAAGAACTGCCTTGTTGGTATATAATCAATTATTATATTGCTTATTGATAGTTCGATGTACTAAGAGTTTTTAATGAGAATTTCATTATGAATAAGATAAATTATAAAGAAAAAGTTGTTACTTAGGTGGCAAAGGAGGTGCTTCCTTCTCTACTTTTGCGGTAGGGAGGACGTAAGTATTCCCCTGTTGTTGCCCTTGTGGCATTGGTTGGCCAGGTTGTTGGGGTGGGTATCCTTGTTGTTGATAAGGCTGAGGAGGGTAAGCACCCTGTTGTGGTTGTTGAGCACCATATGGCTGTTGTTGGTAAGTTCCTTGTTGTTGAGGCATTGGTTGACCAGGTTTTTGAGCTGCTTGGGGTGGTTGTTGGGCACCATATGGTTGCTGTGGATAAGCTCCTTGTTGTGCAATTGGTTGGCCTGGTTGTTGAGGATTTTGGTATGGTTGTTGGTAAGTTCCTTGTTGTGGTGGCATTGGTTGTCCTTGTTTTTGGGCAGCTTGGGGAGCGCCTGGATATTGTTGTTGGTATTGACCTGGTTGTTGAGGAGGATAAGCTCCCTGTTGAGGAGTAGATTGCCCGGGTTGCATTTGATATTGTTGAGGAGGATACCCTTGAGGTGGGTAAGCACCTTGTGGTTGTTGTCCTTGTTTTGGTGGAATTGGTGGGGCTCCTGGCTTTTGTTGTTGTGCTCCTTGTGGTGGATATCCCTGCATCGGGTAAGCACCTTGTTGAGGTGGGTAGCCTTGTTGCCCATATCCTTGTTGAGGAGGATACGCACCATATGCCTGTGGTTGTTGTCCGTAGGCTTGTGGAGGATAACCTGGTTGTTGTCCATACACTGGCATTGCCTGACCTGGGTACGGTTGTTGTGGAGCAAGTGGGTTATAGTATCCTTGTTGTTGAGGTGGAGGGTATCCCATTTGTTGTGAGTACATACTTTGTGGCAAGTAGCCAGGCGATTGTTGTGGATATCCGGGTTGTTGTGGTCTCATACCAGCTGCCATTCCCGGCATTCCTTGCATTGGAGCACCACCCATTTGGTTGAACATCGCTTTGTATACCGAGGACATCAGTCTAACTCCTTTCACCTCGACAACGAGAGTTCCTTTTTTGCTAATTGGCAGCTTATATGATTTCCAATCAGGTGTCAGTGGTGCAACAGTGAGTTCTGCGTTTCCGAGGTCGTCATCCTTTCCAATTAAATCGTGGTCGTACAACTTAAAAACAATCTTCTCCCCAACAGTCGCTTTGCATCTGAAGGCTTGGTTCCAGTCTGGATTGACAGATGGTGGGTAGATGAATGTTTTTTTATCTTTGGAAAGTGATGTTCTACATATGAATACAACGTGTTAAATAAACAACAACAAACTTGAATTTGACGTATGCGTCAGATGTTCCACCGAAATCAGCGGCTTTAATTTTCTCTGCTTTATCGAAATAAATGTAGACTTTATTAGGTACCATTCCCACATCCATCTTTTGTGGAATCGCCTGTGGGAATACGTTGTGATAGACACTTCTTAAGCACTTAATATTGACGTCAAACGTTCCTCCTTTCTTCATTGGGAAGTGTTCGACGGTTGTGTCGTTCTCTCTGTAGTCCGACACATAGAAGGACGTCTTGTCAGTCGTTGAATTGGTGAAAAGTCCGACGTCTTCCACAATAAGTTCGATTTTATCGTTAGGCTTAGCTTTAATGAATACCACCATTTGGAGCTTAATAGATCCACAGAAGATGAAAGGGTCAGTTATCAAATCCTTCTGATTGGGTACTTTAATTTTGATTCGAGCGTTCTGACTCGTTCCAATTTTCCCGACATGTGTGAGGCGATACAACTCCAGCCTTAGAATAGACTCATCGGCAATAGTCAAGTTTCGGTACATCGGCTGTCCACCTCTCTTGCACTGCAGCGATATATTCAAAACGCCTTTCTTTGATATCGGGAGAACGTCGTACCACATTTCACCCGTCGCCATCTGTGGAATGACCAACGTCGCATTTCCAAGACTATCATCTTTACTAAACGTGTCGTGGTCGTACACCTCAAGCTTCAATGTCTCTAATGGATTTGCCTTAATCTGGAACTTCTCATTCCAAACGGGGTTGATCGACGGCGGGGCTATTTTTGTTTTCATTTTCTTGCCTCCAATTTCAAATTTGACGTACCCGTCGGAGGTCCCTCCAACGTCGCCAGCTTCAATGTTACGGGCTGATATTATGACGAGCTCAAACTCGAAACTCATGTGTCTCTTTTTTTGAGTTAAGTTCGCTTTCTTTATAATTCAATCTCCTTCTCTAGTTTCGTTTTAGACAATTATTATTATTATATTACATTTTAATAATTACATTTTACTATATTTGTAAATATTTTTTTTGTTTTGTGTATCTTAAGATTCGTCATTAAGATTAAAAATAGGTTCTGAAATGTTGTTGATTGAATTTATATGGCATTTGTCGATACAAAAAAATATAATAAAAATATTAATGTAAAATTAATATTAATTATTAGTTATAAATTCCATATTTTTATTGGTTTTTAATTTATTAAATATGGAATCAAAGTTGTTTTTTCTATTTTGAAAACCTGAAATCGTAGAAAACTATAAAATATAGAAATATTAATAATGTTATTATCATATTACATTTAGCAAACAATAATAAATAAAATAACACAATTGCAGTTATCAGTAATCATTAAACTATACTCAATCTATAAAAAAACCATAACAAAATGGCTCAATTAATTAGCTTGATCCACTGCTTTTTCTTCTTTCTTCTCGTCTTCAACATCGATTTCCTCGCCCTCTTCGAAGACCTTCAAGTTACGCTTTCTTTGGAGATAGACGATAACACAGTATATGATAAAGATCAAGACAACGACGACCAAAGCGACAACGAAGATGACAATGAGTGCAATGGTCCATTTCGGGAATTCCTTTGTCTCGACAGACCGAGCAAGTCTATCAGTTGGACACACGATACTACCATCTGGCATATCTGTGACAACAAATCCTCCACATGCTGCAACCTTTCTCAGACCTTCTCCTTTCAAATGACCGCTTGGAGATGGATTTGTGTCAATGATATCAATTTGCATATCAAGTGACGTTCCTAGTGGTAAACGGATTAAAGCGTAGAGGACTCCCGTCTTTGACTTGTCGACATTCACTTCGATTTTCATTTTAGAAATCGTGTCGATACTTTTTCCTTTGACATCGTCATCAAAGTTCAGACCAGCGCTCTGTCCAGCGCTTGGTGTGAGGATAAGCTTCGAGTTTGTGAAGTCGACTTTATTCGAGTAGACATCCACAAAGGATTGAGAGTCAATAGAGACGGTGTTCCCATTGAAGTCCACTTCTTCTTCATCAATTTTATAGAGTGACCCACCACGTACATCCAAGTTGATACCAGTCATACTCTCGTTGATTACTAAATGTCCGCTGTACATAATTAACGTGTTAGTCTCACTTTTTGTCATTCCAGAGATCTTTCCAATGGAAATAGTTTGATCAAATGCAATAAATGCAGCACTATCTTCTGTTTCACCCACAAGAATGTCCTTAACAGCACTCGATGTAAGAGAGAAGATGGCATTCCCACTCACTTTGACAGTGCTTAGAGTAACTGCATTGCCAGAAACACTCCCAGATCCTATGTAGAGTCCACCATAGATTGTATTGTCTGGAATTGTATATGTCACCTTCTTCTGCTTCTGGAAAGTAATAATACACTCGTTACCTTCACATGGGCATGTCTTTCTTTCCCAGTCACTTTCTTTGACCGAAGAGTACTCATCTGTTGTTGACAATGAACACGAGAGGGGTGGGATCTCCACATTTCCATCTGCACTGCAGACATAAACTAAGTACTTTTGGGTATCTATTTTCAGTGTATCTGATTCAACCAATGTAATTTTGTTAATGTCGTTCACTCGAAGTATGGCAACACACTTCTTTGTTGTTTCACCAGTAAGTTCGACTTTCACTCGTGTCAACTCGACTTCTCCAGTCTCTTCTAATTCAATCAAATAACGAGAAATGGTGTTCACTTCCAGATCAGTCACATCCACCTTGAATGTTGTGTCTTTGATGATAACTTTGTTGATCGGTTTCTCGTCTTTCAAGCCACCTTTAATATCGACGTATCCACTTTTAGCAAAGTCGACAGTCATCGAGTCAATAACAAACTCGCGTGGGATAGCAGCAGCTCCAGTGACTTCGACAACGACATCTGTAGATGGGATAGTGAGTTGATTTTCTAATAACATAGCCCCACTCTTCAAGTTGACAGCTTTGAATGTGCTAAGTTTGTTCTTCAAATTCAGATTGCCTCCAGTCATCTTCAGTGACTCAACATTCAATGAAACGCCAGTGAACGCAATAGAAGATATCTCAACAACATTCATTGTATATATATTGAGCGATGAAGAGATATCAATGGTCTTAGCTGTGTCCGCAGAAGTTAATGTGAAGTCGTACACCGACATAGTAGACAACAATGTGAGTGTATTCACAAAGGTAATAGACTGGAACAACGCCTTTGACTTATCATCGTTGAAAGTGCATGGTTCATTAGTTTCACAATTGAAAGTACACGTTTGTTTAGTGACCAAGTCATATTGGCAGTAACATGCTGTTGGCGAGTTTTCAACTTTACAGTTCAATTCTGGACATTCAAATGCTGTCGTCGTTGCTTTACAGACTTTCAGTTCAGTCCCACCGCATTGTGTAATCACAATATCATTAGAATCTAATTGTGAAATAGTTCCAATGCTGAACGCCAAATCTCCTCTATTAGCGTTATTAGAATAAGAGATCAAATTGGTGCATGTTGTAAGAGCAGAAGTACCTTTATAGTAGAAAGTAGTTATACCAACAAAATTGGATTTGTTATTCAACACAATCTTTCCCGAGTTAATGGTCAAGGAAGTCAACTCGAAAGAAGATGTAGCATTAACTAGAGAATCCCCATTTAATGTCAAATCCTTAAATCTGCTTTGTCCACCAATAGTTTGTAAGATACCTCCATCCATAGTGATACTCAAAACATCAGAAGACAACCCATTCACTACAGCTTTTACGCCTTTTACTGTTACCTCGGCACTTTCTCCACTTTCTTGGATCACCACGTTGTCTGAAATGATTTCAAAAGCACCACTAAGAAGCACATCACAAGATAATGTGCATTGTATTTTGGTTGTTCCTGTTGTTGATACTAATTTATAGACCCCAGAATTAGAAATTGTCACCGTGTGATCCCCATTGACATTAACAATATCATAGCCATTGGTCTTTCCTGTGTTTCCATTGAGGGTAAGGTCGGCAGATGTAGTGTAAATGTATTGCTGTACAAAGTCAGAAGCAGTCTCATGGTTGTCACTAGTTGAGGCACTATATGGTGCAGGGCATACATACGAATCAGTTCCTTTGGCAAACAACAATGTGTTTCTGCATCCAGAAATCAAAGGACTGACTGTGTTAATTGTACCACTCGTCATTTGCACAACGGGAACTGAAACAGTGGATGTACCCGTCATTTCAACAGCCTTTACATCGAAGTTTCCTTTCAAAAGAGCAGAAGTGATATCTTGGGAATAAGTAAATTTAAGAGAGTTAACAGTAACTTTGTTCTTTGACTGCACTACAGTAGAAACAGCGTCTGTAGTATCGATTTCATTTACAGTAACTTCATTGTTGAATGTGATATCGGAAGTGGTTGACAACTTAAGATTGATTTTATCGGAGAAGCCACTAAACTCTACACTTTGTAACACGATAAATACAGAAGAAGTCACATCAGAGGGAACAGTCAATGTTTGGAAGCTAAATGGACTTTCCAAAGTGACTTTAGACCCAACAACAAGTTCTTTGATGAGAATCTTCGACGTTTGTTGTGTCTTCAAAATAGCGTTCTTTGGCAATGTAATTTTAGTCAAGTCACTTTCTATACCAGAAATGGTGATTTCTGTGTCTCCGGTATCCTCAAATTTGATTGGAATTGTGAAATCAGTACCGTCACAGATACCCGGGGTGGTGTACATTGTTCTTTCCTGTAAGTCGACATTTGTATTTCCAGTCGCCACGATACACTCAGCAACAGTTGGTTTAGTCGTACATGAAGTAAAGAAAATTCTCTTCTCAAGTTCACTTCCAGTGATTTTGACATCGCTCAACGTTCTTGTAGAAGACTGGAAATTGGCGATGTATGCACATCTGTCATTAGTATTGACTGAATTAATTGTAAAGAGTGTTGGTACATCATCAGCCATGAAGAGAGCAGAAGACTGATATGAGTCGCTTTGTATGTTCAATGCAGCAATGTTTACATTAGACCCAACTTGGATTTTACCGGAGGAAACAGTCAACGATTTTGCTACAAAAGCGCCGATAACATTCAAATTTCCAGAGATTTCAAGAGAGTCTACATTGAAACTCCAGACTTTGTAAGCAGTTTCTTCATTGTTGACTACTTTGATTTGTGCGCCATCAGAACCAACGATATAAGCATTGTTGGTCGCAGTTGCAGGACATGCGAACTCCAATTCACCAGCCATGACATCAACTCTTGCAATATCATCTACAAGTTTCACCTTTCCACTTTGAATCTCAATGTTTGTAATTTTAGCGGAGTCTACTGAAACTGTTCGCTGAGTACCAGTTCCAATGATCGACAGCTTAGTTGCTTGAGTTGTTATTTTGGCGGGATCCGTTGTTGACCCAGTCAAGTCAAGGGTAATGAAACAGAACTCGTTGTCGCATTTTGAGCATTGAGTCAAATCGGTTGATGTTATAGTGCAACTATTTTCACAGTAATAATCATCAGCAGCCGCAGAGGTAGTAAATACAAGTCCGGTACACTTCATATAGTTATCTGCTCCAATAGTTGTTCTCAAATTAGCAAGTTGTACAAGTGGATCTTGAGTGTTCGTTGTTGGAACTATTAAACTAGTTCCTGTAAAGAATATTGAAGGTAACAATGTTTGTGTAATTGTTGACCATGCGTTCAATTGCTTATCATCGCCGTTGCTTACTTTAACTGCATTGGTATCAACTCCAAGTTCCAAATTAATGATATCATGTGCTTCAACTGCTTCTGTCGTCATAATCTTCATATTATTAAATGAATTGATGTTACCTCCCTTGTAAATTGTGACGAACCCATCTTTTGTAGCATCTGCAGAAAGTGTCGATCGAACATCAATCGATTCATCAGAATAAAGTGCCAACTTATGTGCTGGAGTGGCTTGTGTGAATGAGAAAGAAATTCCTTTCATTACACTGTTGATATCAACATTGGTATCAATAATAATTGATTTGTGCGTTCCCAAACTAGAAACTAAAGTTGTACCACTTGAAACAATGACGTCGTCTGTACTTGTAGCACATCCATGTGATAGATCATTACGATAAGCAGCACTTTGGTCCAAAAATACAGATCCGCTTTGTGTGTAACAAGCCTTAGTTGTTTCAGCAGTTGTTTTCAAACAAGACTTCGCGTGTTTAACCGCACCAGTAAATGAAGTGATGTCATATAACAAGAAACATTGTGTTCCAGTTTCTTGATGACTCAAAGTGGTCGCATTAAAGGCTCCACCAACCTTCAAATGAGTTGTCTGTGAGACTTTGATTTCTTTTACTGTCATCGTTCCAGCAACTGAAACTTGTGCACCACTCGCTGTGAATATCTCATCTACTATCAAAGATCCAGCGAGGACAAGAGAAGACCTGACCTCCAAATTGGTGTGTACAGTCAAATCCTCTCCACTGTAACTCACAAGAGTTAAGCTTCCTGAATACTCCAAAGTTTGGACACTTCCAGCGACCGAGAGCCTTGTGGACTCCCCTTTGACATTAAGAGAACCAACTTTGCTCACCGAGAGAATATAACCAAAAGCACCAAGAGTGGCAACAGCACTCAGATCAGTGCTAGCATCTGTTGTGATTAATGGATTCATCTCCTTTTTCAAATTGAAAGAACATGAAGAACCTTGGCAAATGATTTTATCTACTGTGTTACTGACTTCGACCTCCCCCGATACAGAAGCTGGGATGGTCAATTGTTGTGGTAATGAAAAAGCGCCACAGTCAGCTGTGGTTGTGCCAGAGTTTGTAGTTGCGGTACAGAAATGGAAGAATTCATGGTACATTTCACAGTTGGTACTTTTCTTTGTGAATAACATTAAGTTGTCGCAAGACAAGAAGTCTTTGCCAGCGGATTGTTTCAGAGTAAGATATCTTCCAACAGTATCCAACAACACAATTTCTCTCGTTGTCTCAGTTGAAGAGAAATCAGTGATAGTCAGTGATGATTTCTTTGTTGAGTCGGCTTGAGCAATACCACTGAGTGCTGACCCACTGTTGTATGTCAAAGCCGTGATGGTAAAGTCGGCGTTTTCAAGTAAATAAATTGTATTCTTTCCAAAAGTGTGTGTTGCTATTGTTCCAGTTTTAACATAAACATCGGATTCCAAAGTCGTGAGGAGAACCTTATCAACAAACTTGAAAGATCCACCAGTAACAGCCTTCAATTCAGTGACAGACACGTTATCGGCTGAAGCAAGTTTGTTTACTGAGACTTGATGTGCCTTTGTAGTTTCAAGATGGTTTATAGCAGTCACGTCATTCAAAGTGGTGTCGGAGTCAGAATTGATCACCAAATTCTCTTTGAGAGTTGTTCTTCCTTTTAAGGTAATTGCTGCAAGAGAAGTTGCGTACGAACATGATGTCTCTTTTGTGTTTTGATCATCAGTGGAACATGGGCACATTCTATCAGTAAATTGCCCTTCGAAAGTATCAGCTGTTTTGTCAGCTGTACATGTTATGGAGTATGTTGGTGATGAAGAGGATGATGTGTATAAGATTCTGTTACAATTAGTACAACCCTTAATAAAAATAACACCCTCTGGTTTCGTTATTATTGTCCCCTTTGTTACAAAAGCCAATTCGCACTCATCATTTTGACAACTTCCTTCTATTGCGTTGATATTGATAGTGGAAGAAGTACCAACCACATCAAAAATGTGTTTAGTTGGTTTTCCATTTACCTTTCCAAAATATACAGTGGACTTTGTTATACTGATTGTATTTGCTTTAGTTTCATCTGTTGGAGCAGTTAATGTGGCGATATTGATGTCTGCGTTTGTGATACTTTCGATTAACTCTTGTTTCTCTTCGGTGATTGTCAGTTTTGGGAGTGGCGTTTCAGTGGAAGTACATGAAATAGCAATAGCCTTGGTTGATGTCAAAGACTTAACAGTAATGGCCGTATCATAAGTAAAAGCTGCTTTATCTCTAATGTCAATGTCAAACTGATTGAAGTTAGTTGACTGTTTGCAGTCATGTTCATTAAATTTGGTTTGATCGAATGAGGTTTCTGTTCCAACCAAAGTGCAGGAACAAGATCCCTTTGTTGAATCCTTGTAAATTCTGTTGTATGTGGATCCACATGTCAGCGGCTGGAAACCTTCAGTGATTATTCCCGCTTTAATGTACATAACAATATCATCATTTGATATGCACGTTGAACTTGAAATATTAACAGAAATGTCTGATACGAAGATGCCGCATTGAGCATTAAGAAGTTGGATTTTCTTTGTTCTAGAACCAACAGTTGAACTCAGAATCACAATTTTAGTTCTTGTTGTGTCAACAGAAATTTCATAGTCATGATCCTTATTGAAGTTTACAGTACAATCATCGTCGTCCGTTATTGTGATTTTCTTTATTTGGTGTGTGAAGGTCAATGTCTTTGGACAATTTGTAGAAAGTGCAACCCCATTGTTGTCTTCGTCCTTTTTCAATTCACAGTCGTACTCAGTGTATGCTGTAGTTTGTGGGTCTCCAGACACTTTTGCAGTACATGTACATAACGAACCAGCTGTTTGTGCTTTAATGAAGTATCTATTCCATCCCGATGCGGTGTTACATTGTACTTTAAAAAGTCCATCGTTTTCGTCCTTTGGCGAAGCGAAGAGTGCAGTCTGAGTGGTCACTGTCGCTCCACCTTCAGTCTTTACACTTTTAACGGTGGCATCTACCCAAATGTTTTCAGAGAATTTGTTGGACTCTAAATTGAGTGGGTTGTTACTTGTGATCTTAAGTTTGGTATAAGCTTGGATAATCACTTTAAGTTCAACAGTGGTGTTGGCTGCTCCGTCTTTTTCGTAGTTAAAGACCACCTCCTGACCTTCAGTTGTATTAATGGTCAACACCTCACAGTTTTTCACTGTAGTATAGTTAGTCAAGTCGCATTCGATTGGCGCAACGTCTTGTGCTCTCAATAAGGTCGAGAAGAGCACCAAACAAGTGAATATAATGGCGTTCATTATAATTTAGTCAGTTTGTCCGAGTTTTTAAACGTGTTTTTTTGTTGTGATGAAACGACTAGTTAACTATTTTTTGTCATTGTTATATTTTTTCCATTAATTTTATTATTGTTTCTCCATGTTTTCTATCGTCTTTTCCTTATGTTTATTTAATAAAAAAACTCCACTGCAAATGTTTCAATAGGGTGTCCATGTATTATAGTTAGTAACTTTATTATAGAAAACCGACTCAAAAACTCTTAATATAGCATTTCCCCAATTTGAATAAAAAAATTCTTTTCATTCAATTTGGTCGCCATGATGCTTTCATTACGGGAACTTTTGATATTAATTCAATGGAATACATAAAAAGTTATTTTGTCCATTCTTAAAGTAATAATTAAACTCCATTTTAATAGACATGGAGTTTTTTTAAATATCGGGTTAGTGGACTTATTTCGTTTATTATTGTGTTTCAGGCATTCAATATATTATTTTACCAGAAATACCATTCAACTGTAGATTTTTTTGTCTTTTTGAAGTAAAATTCGATGAAATAAAAAAAAAACTATAATATATAATTTATATACTATTATTTTTAAATGAATAAAATAGGTTATATTAAGTTTAATAATAATGGATTGTTTTTAGTAAATAACAAACTCATATTATAGTCCAAAAATGGGGTTCAAAAAAAAATAAAAAAGTCAAAAACATGTTTATTTATTAATTTAGTTTAATTAATTATTAATACAATAATAACTTTTTTATTTTAAAAATTATTATTCAATTTCTAATTTAAGAATTAAATATATACTAAATTTTTAGTTAAATAAATTATAATTAAAACCCATAATCAAATTTAATTATTTTTATTTTCCTATCAAAAACAGCAATAAAGTGGGATAATTAAAATTATTTATAAGATTAAAATGAACTAACAATGTCATATATTTCAAGTTTTAGAATAAAAAAAATCCATTTATATAACTTTTTTTGTTATTAGAATGTTTTTTATCAACCCAAGTATTAAATAAATTGTCGGTGATACACAGTTAAGTTCTGAACAAATTGTTTGTAAAGTGACCTCTATGTATTAAACAAATACATCTAATTTACATAATAACAATGCGCATTAAATTTATGGATTTTTTTGTTATTGAAATAAAAACGGAGATAATAGCTGTTTTATTGCATTGTGTAGACCGCTTGTATCGATTTTAGTGTGTGTTCATATTTATTCTTACAAAACATTAGAAGAATCAAACTCAAAATCCAATGTTTTTAAGATTTAATTTTGAAAACATTCAAACAAATAAAAAAAATTGGGTAGTAAATATTATAATATGTTTTATTAGAAGTTTTATTAAATGTAATACTATATGACACAATATACTATAATTATTATTAATTATTAACAATTTTTTATTTCGAAAAAAATAAAAATAGAAAAGTCGGTTATAAAACAATGAATAAAATGTCTAGTTTTTCGTATTTCGAACCTTGAGTATTTCGTTCGTTAGAAAGTGTTATTAGTCCTGAAAAAAGGCCAAGTTTTCTCGCCAAAGAAACTGATTCCAGAAAAGATGTAATATTTGAAAACAAAATTAAGTAACTCCGAAATAAGCAAACAAATTGGTCAGTGATCTTGAATAGTACGTGTCACCAAATAAAACAATAAAGTAAAAATAACAAAGAAAAAGTGGCAGATTATGTTTCGAATAACCACATTGATTCTGGCTTACCTCAAAATCCAAAGAATTGGTAAGAAGAGTACTGCTCACTATATAAACGTTGAATTCTTTTAACTCATTCATCAAATGGAAGGAAAGACAACAATGAAGGGCCTTGCCATGCTTGGCATTGGCAAGATTGGATGGATTGAGAAGCCTATCCCCGAGTGTGGTCCATTAGATGCTCTTGTGAGACCACTTGCACTTGCTCCATGCACTTCAGACACACACACTGTTTGGGCTGGTGCCATTGGAGACAGACACGACATGATTCTTGGCCACGAAGCTGTTGGACAAGTCGTTAAGGTTGGATCTCTTGTCAAGTTACTCAAAGTAGGTGACAAGGTCATAGTCCCAGCCATTACACCAGATTGGGGATCATCTGAAGCACAAAGAGGATATGCTCAGCACTCCGGCGGAATGTTGGGAGGCTGGAAATTCAGTAATTTCAAGGATGGTGTCTTCTCCGAAGTGTTCCATGTGAATGAAGCTGATGCCAATCTTGCTATTCTTCCAAAAGAAATCGCTCCAGAGACCGGCGCGATGTTATCTGACATGGTGACAACTGGATTCCACGGATCTGAGTTGGCAAATATCAAACTTGGTGACACTGTCTGTGTCATTGGAATTGGCCCCGTTGGATTGATGTCTGTTGCTGGTGCTAACCACCTTGGTGCAAGTAGAATCTTTGCTATTGGATCCAGAAAAGGATGCTGTGACATTGCCATGAAATATGGAGCCACTGACATCATCAATTACAAGAATGGTGACATCGTCGATCAAATCTTGAAGGCCACCAATGGCGAAGGAGTTGATAAAGTTGTTATTGCTGGTGGTGATGTGCACACATTTGCTCAAGCAGTCAAAATGATCAAGGCTGGAAGTGATATTGGAAACGTCAATTACCTCGGCGAAGGTGAGAACATCGATATCCCACGTGTTGAGTGGGGTGTTGGAATGGGTCACAAGAACATTCATGGTGGACTTACACCGGGCGGAAGAGTCAGAATGGAGAAACTCGCATCTCTTGTTGTCACAAAGAAACTTGATCCTTCACTCTTGATCACTCACAGATTCGAAGGTCTTGAAAAGGTCGAAGATGCTCTTATGTTGATGAAGAATAAACCGGCTGATCTTATTAAGCCAGTGGTCAGAATTCATTATGCTGATGAAGACACTCTTCACTAAATCATTGATCTCGTTTCATGTTAATTTTATTTTTTATTAATTAATAGATACATTACTAAAAACTATATTATAAATAATTATAATTCTTTATTATTATATTATTTATATTATAATTTAAATCTTTGTTTTCAAAATAAAACAATTTTGGTGTTTATATTAGTATATTTTTAATTTCATTTACTATAATTAATAATATTCCACTCATATACAATATATCACATTTTTCCTCCAATTAATACTAACTAACAGAATCTCTGGTGTAAATGAGATGAAGGTACTGACTTTAATCCTCATCATAACTACATTAGTCACGGGAAGTCTCTTGAATAACCCGATAATGAAGACAGCTCTTGGTGTTGTTGGTATCAAAATCATGTCTCCAGACGACATTCGAGGAGCTGCCTCTTCTGTACCTAGTCAAGGTGGTGTAGCCAATTTTGCGATGCAACCTCCTACTGCTCGTGAGAGTTCAGAACCTTCTGTCTTGATTGAAGAAATCCAGCAAAAGGTGTTAGATGAAGTTCAAAGGCAATTTGGTTTACTTCTTGACCTGTGTTATTATGGCCCATATGGAATTCCAATATGGACTCCAATCATCTCTCCTGTTGTGACTTTATTCACAATCCTTCCAGTGATGACTGCTTTTCAACAAATAGAAATCTTTAGAAAACAAAAGGAGATGATGGAATACGCCAAAATAGCGGGAATGGCCATGAACGGATATTCTGTTGCTCGAAATCTCAATCTTCGTCACAGAGTCAGTCTTGGTACTTGGCAAGACACAAACCCATTATAAGTTTCTTTATATTTACTGTACTATTTATTTATTATAAACATATTATAATATAGTGCCATTCACGATGAATGAAAACATGACAAATGTTATACTTATAATAACATATGTAATATATAAATAGTACTATAAAATAAAACCTGAATGTATTGTGATGAAGAACTAAATCTATATCTATAGTAAATATAATTATAACATAACTATATTTTGTTTGCTCGATGAAAAGAGAAAAAGACGAAAAAACTAATAAATTCACATGTCGCAGATTGATTCTGTGAAACCAAAGTTCTGTCCGCAATGTCAGCGGATTATGCTCCAACAGAATTGCGGAGACGATTTATACTTTGTGTGTAGGAATGGAGAGTGCAATTACTACGAAAAATGGAAGGACCCCAAAGATTTTTGTGTGTACATGAAATCGTTTAGTGAGACGAAAACAACAACCGACTCGGCAGATGTCAGTAAAGACCCGACATATCCTAAAGCGCGCGTGTTTTGTTCAAAATGTGATTGCGAGGTCGACGCTGTTTACTATTTCTCTGCTCATTGGAACTACAACTGTTCCCTTCAAATCTTTTATAAGTGCACCATATGCAGCTATAGTTGGGCCGAAGGTGGAGCGCCACTGAAAAAGGATAAGTGATTTCGATGTGTTACTTTACTGTTCCTCTCGTTTACTTGAAGTTGAAGTAAACAATACTCAGTTACTGTTCCTTGCATGGAAGAGGAACTTTACTGTAAGACACATGTCATCTACAACATCTATATGTTCATATCTTCTTATAAAGTTGCACACAATAGAATCTTATAATGTGTGTGACACTTTTATTTGGCGTTCATCGATTCTTGTTATTTCGTCTGCTTGAAGCTTGATTCTCTCTTTTCTCTCTTCGAAGTGATTATACCCTGTTTCAACATCATTCACTACATAACCATATTGATTAAGTGCTTGATACATACAATGAGTGTTCTTGGGAGTAAAAGACTTCAAAGGGTTATCTAAATCCAGGTCGAAGTCTTGAGAACCCAAGCAGACCTGTGAATTATTTTGAGAGTGTTTTGGGGTTATAGAAGTGAAGTTAAGGGGGTTGAAATTGGAGGGAGGGAAGGGGTCGATTGAAGGCGACATCTTCCAGCTCCCGTTACTCCCATCCATGAGAGAGACAAACCCTTTGGTGTGTGATATTGCGTCGAGCAACTTTTTCTTCCAGTTCTTTGATCCGACTACAAATCAGTGAGTCACATGTTCCAGACATTTTCTTATTCAAAATAGAAACAAACTCAGTCTAATCTGTGACAAAAGTTTTCGATGTACTTCCACGTAAGGGTATACGTCTCGCTTTAGACTGAAAAATTCTTTATTAGGAAACAGGGTTTGCAATGAGTAAAAAACGACTTTTACAATAGACGCCCAACACGACTTCAACCGTTTTAAATCGTCTGTCCTTGTACACACCAAACAGGGGCAATTTTTCGTGTTCTGTTGCTCCATTTCCTTTTTCAGTTCATTCCTCTTCCCATTTCGTGTATTTTCTCCACCCAATCATATCAATTTTTATACCAAATAGTATTTGCCGTGGTTTAGTATATTACCATTTCGGTGATTTTGTATATGGTTTATTTATAATTTATTTATGGTTTATTACCTTTTTTTCAAGTCTTTAACATGAAATGTAATTGTTGATCTATTTTTATAAAACTCACCACTTTTGAAATAATTTAGTAATTATAAACCACTGTATATAATTATAGAAATATAGAAAAGAAAATATTTCGTCGATTCACAACAATAACTACACAAATTAAAATTCATTTCGTATTCTCGATATACCCAAACACGTCAAATAGAAACGGCTTCTCACCGAAATTAACTCGTGCTGAATAACACGTCGAAAATCCTATTGCAGGATACGCCTGTTCGAACCCTAAATTGTAAAACATCCTATTCAGAACTATTTTCCCATTCCGTGTGAAGAAAGCTGCTCTCTTCACAACATCAAAAGCAGCGCCAATGACATCACCACTGGTGTACGGCCTATCAAACTCTTCACCCATGCCAGAGTTCTTAAAAACACGACCATCGTCCGAGTGAAACCCTATCGAATTTCCTTCCCACCCAACATGGCGCTTCTCATTATAATCCTTGCTACTTACAAATCCTATTGAAATTATCATCTCGTCAATGACATGGGAAGACGCGTTCGGTAATATTTCAACTTCGAAGTAAAAGAGTGGGGTGCGGAGAATGGCGTATTTTCCATGTGACTTACAATAGCACACCATTCGATCTGCCGCCTCAAATGGATATATAGACTTTGCCACAAGTCGTGTGTTTCGATTTGTGTTTTGGTTGATAAAGAGTGAATTGGAATACCCAAGCCCAAACGAGTTCGCTGTTCGTGGTAAGAAGAAGTCTTGTTTTTTGTCTGTCTGTTATTTTTGTGAAAACGTCAAACTATTTATTCGAATTATTTATTTACCCTCATAGATCCTTTTGAACTTATTAAGAAGCCAAATTTGAAACAAACAATTCTTCGATATATGTGTGAGAATACTTCGCCAACTTCTATTCTTTAATGACCCAAATAACTCGATGGACCCCGTCACATGTACTATTTTCTCTACAAGTTTTTTAATGAAAGTGTCTTGTGAGATGAAAGGATACGCTTGTGTAAAGCTAGAAAGACTAAGAAGTTATTTGATGTTTCTTTCAACGTGTTTTCAATATAATAACAAACTCATCTAAAGGTAGATAAGTCAATACTTTCCTTAACAATCCTTCACTTATTAATAACTGTAGTAGACACAACTCTTTGACTTCCATTCTATTATTGAATTTAAAGTTTGGTAATTCATCCATTGAATCACAATTTAATTTCACTACGTCACTTGAAATGAAATAACCACCATAAAAAGAGAAAAGAAAACAAATTCATTATACTGCAAATCCGTCATCAAATTCAATTTGATCCTCATCGATGTCTCCCGCATTATTCCCCCATAACGTTTTAAATTTTGTTGTATAACATATGAACGATATAATTGACCCAATGAGTACACCCCCAAGAATATCATCGAAGTTATGGAAATAATCCCGTGTCCGTGTTAAAGCAACAAAACCAGCCAGAATCAACGGAGATATACACATCACTACTTTCAGAAGCGACCCACTCCCGCTGAACACTTTAAACTCGCCACAAAGCAACAACGATAAAAACATCATCGCGCAAAACGTCATCGATGAGTGACCACTTGGAAAGGATTTGTAGGCATCCGCTTGGTCTCCGGCATCGTACACTGCATAGAAATTCGGACGAGGACGACCCGCAAAGAGCTTGAAAATGTTTGTCAAAAACTCGTTGAGAGCAAAAGAAAACCAGAAGCAGATTAATACAGTGATCAGGTACGTCTTATTCCCACGTTTCCGAGAAAACAAAACTATAAAAACGGTTGGTAGAGCAAGTGACGCAATTAAACACACAAGTGATGGGATCGTGTTCGTCGTGTTTTTGAAGGACACATTAGGGTTCGAGCGCTCTTGGGGAATATCCATCTTGTGGCCACTCATGAAATCCATCACAAAAGATAACAAAAATAAGACCGTCGCAACAATACATTCAACTATGTGCGTCTTTGTGACGAGTCGGAACACTTCTGAGATTGGCATTATGTGTTTTAAAGATCCTTTTCATACAAGTCTAAATCATGTATTTTTTATTAGTTTAATTATAGTTTTTAATAGTTATGTGTAAATTATTTTTTACTTCAAATGAGTGTTAATAAAATTTATTTATTATGAACATAACTATGATAACAGTGTATTTGCTTGAAAAATACATCTTTTGTTAAAGAAGGCAATATATTATGTTAAAAGATATCTAAGAAATATTTTTCAACTCATTTCTTTTGAAAATAACATTTACAAACTTTAAAATAAAATACTAAACACAACTGATATAATAACTTGAGATAAAAAATAACAAACTGTTTAACACTTTAAATGACAATGAACAAAATTCAAGTGGACTAAAAATCGGGAAATTTCGAGTTTATAAAATAAATTTCCGTTTTATTAGAGTTTGTATTAAGTGATAAACATTACACAAGCCAAAAAAGGAAAATCATCAAAATTTTGATTAATATCCCAGTAAAAACAGGCCAAAACAAAAATAAGGGCGTTATTTTAAGTGTTAAAACAAAAAAATAAAAATAATTCTTCAAAAAAAACAATACCAAGTATTTAAATACTACCAATAGTAAGTATTTAAAAGAAGTATGAAAATTTTTAACGATAATGAAATATAATAAAGGTCTATAATACCGGGATATATCGAGTATATAAAATACTTTTCCCTTTATTTAGACGTTTTTATTGTGTATAACAATACACGGCCTTAAAAGGGAAAAACATTAAAAAATACGAATATATCCCGAAAACACAAGGCTACCAAAAAAACTTGGGTGTTATTTTAATTGTTAATGAAATAAAAAAGAGTAATAAGAACTTGAAATCAATCAAAAGTAAGATGTCAGAGTCTGTTAAAGAAGAAGTTCCAATTGAATCAGGCGATTACGAGGAGGTCGTAGAGATTGAAGAAATTGAAGATGCCAATGAGAAAGCGCAACGTGAAGAAAACGAAGGGAAGCGTATGGTCGAGTTGAAAAAAGTTGGTCAAATAAAAGAGGGAGCTAAACATGATGTGACAACACAAGAGATGACCACAGCGAAAAAAGTCTTAGAAGCTATGCAAAGGAGTCAAGAAGAACAAAAGTATCAAGATCGTGAGGATCAATTAGTCGCCAAATTGAAAGATGAAGATGTTGATTGTTATCCAGGAGAGACTATAGAACAAGCGAAGCGTCGAGTTGTCGCTGAGATGATAGAAAGAGAGCGTAAGGGGAGTGTTTTTAATGATAAATTTACTGCACAAGAGAAGAAGATCATTGAGAACATTTTTGATGTTCGAAGTGCTCCGTATGACACTTTATTTGATATCAAATGGGGTGTACGGTCTAATGCAGCTGCTGTTAAAGAAACGAGAGGGTACTTAATCGACAAACAATTCCCATTTTTGTTCACAAAGAAAGACCCACAATTTGGTGTTTTTTGCAAGAAGAACACATACATCTACTTATCTGTTTGTTGTGTATTCGATTACTAGCATAGAACTAAATATTTATAACTAGCCTGGTAACTCGGCTGAAACATTTGATGTGTACTGTTGGTATGGCTCACAGGTTTCTATTGCAAAGAGAGGAGTCTGCTCCATGTTGGCTTCACAGCTTGGCGTCTGTTTGGATAACCACGTCAAATATCACATGGAAGAAGAAGGAAGTGAGTCCAATGAGTTTAAAGAACTCTTTGAAGAGAATGAAGGATTTTCAGTCATAGAAGATGGAGAGTCTGGCGATGTGTTAGGTGAGCCAAGAAAGCCATTAAGAGCAATTAAGTTATACAAGATCAACGAAGTTTGTCAAAATTTAACACGAGTTGAACAAGTCGATCCAAGTGTAGCTTCATTGACACCATATGATGGATTTGTGTTTGATGACGGGAAAAGAGTCTATGTCTTTGTTACAAAGTATGCGACAAGTCGGATCAAAAACCGAGCACTTCAGTTTGCTATGGTGTTAAAAGGAGACAACAACTATAAAGATTCAGAGGTCTTTATGGAGCCGTCAAAGACGATGATGCTCTTCTATAAGTTAATGAAAATGGAAGATATGACGTATGATGAGATGTGTGACTACATCTTGAAGAAATATAGTCCAGACACTTCTGCACCCAATTTTGGGCTTCTGTTGAGATTTACGCACAACACTAAAACAACACAAGTCATCAAAACAATCAAACCAAACAACGTCCCATTATCAAAAAACATGTTACAAAGTCATAGATGTTACATTTACGATTGTGGGAATGAAGTCTTCACGTGGAAAGGGAAGAAGTGTTCAAGAAAAGAATGGGAAATGCTTCGACTGTTAGCGAGTAGAGTCATTATGCAAATGGTATCTTCAAGACCGTCTTGGACTAAAATCCAAGAAGAATTTGAAGGGATGGAGAGTGAAGCTTTTAAGTGTCATGTGACTGATTGGAAGTACACTGTTGAGAAAATCCCGGACGACGATTATAACAAAATCATCCGACTTGTATCGAAGAGAATGGATTTCAATGCAGACGCCGAGTCCAAAATCAATGACGTCAAAGTCCAATTTGCGAAGAGAAAAGAAGAGGACATGGAGAAGTTGGGAGACAAATTCGATGTCGAAAAATTTGATTCTGAGTACCGAGAAGCTGTCGACAAAATCACAAAGAGTCTGGTTGGCAAGCAAGACCCCGTCATTTACATGTATCAATGGGATGTCGATGGGTATCAAAAGAACCTCCAAAAGATGTTAGAGAGTAAAAGAGTGTCATTAGTGTTATCACCAGAGACCATCACCGAGAAGGAAGACTTCCACAAGATGATGGTGACTGATATTAAAGTGAATGTATTCCTTGACTTACTCTCCGGAACAACATATGAAGCTACCAAAGAGCAATTGAGTATGTTTTATGATGAACATCACATCGAGTTGTTCGATGAAAATTCGTATGTCATTAGTGTAGAGAAGTGGGACAACGACAATGGAAATTGGATCAGAAGAATGTACTTCTGGGAAGGTAAACGAACGAATGAATTATATTATACACAGTTCCTTGGGAAGTTTTTCAATGGGATGGTCAAAGCGTTTGAGAGTGCGAAGCGTCGCGACAAAGATGCAGTTGAAAAGAAAATAGAGTTTGATTACGTGCGAATTAAAGAGGGAAGTGAGCCGGCGGAGTTTGCAGAACTCTTTGATTATCGTATTGTTGTGAAAAGAGGGAACATGAAGGACCGGATTCAAGTGCATGAAATAGATGAAGATGAGTTGATGAGACAACTTGAAGAGGAAGACAACAAGAAAGAGAATGATGACGAATATGAGTATGAATACGATGAT